ACAGGTTTTTATATTCAAAACGCAGTCAGCCTGTTCAGGGACATTTAACTTGTTGCAGTAATGCTGTCCCTCTGCAATGTGGAATAATTTTGTAAACAGGAAAATGTTTGCAGTTTTCCATCTGAGATTGTGAGGATTTGCTGTATTTGAACTCACCATCTTCACCATGCAAAGGAGAGGCGAGCAAGCTCGCAAGCAAAATGCCAGAGGACAGTAACATACAGTAAGTTCATTTTGCAGCTGTGTGTAATTAAGCTTTGTATACAGTCACAACATATTGACCTTACATGTTTTCACCTCATGAAAGGTTCACGGTGCTGTTTTTGGAGCACCCTGCAGAGGTATTCCCAGGCATCCATTGAGAGCATCAACACTAATTCATTTGTAGTAAACGGGAGTAGAGGTGGTTAACACAAATGTGAGTCAGTAAATAGACAGTTAACAGAACAATAATGCTTCATTGCCAGAAAAATCCAACTCATACTTAAAGTGCATTGCAAAGATCAACACAGCAAATGGAGCCTTGAGAGCAAAGACGGAAAAATACAACAGGAAAATCTGTTATTAATGTTACAACGATAATAAAATTAATGTTTTAGCAATTAAAAGATTAAAAGTGGTCCCAAAACCCTTCACATAGAAAAACAAAAACATTCTTGATAGTTTATGCTTCAGATGATCATATTTTCACTGGTGACGTTGGATGAGAGCAGTATAGTATATTAAACTACATGAAACACCAATGCCCGGCGATGTTCGTTAATCGCACCAATTGCATATGACAGCATCGGCCTTGTCGGCAGCAGCCTCAAGAGAGCCCCGGATCGCCGAGTGAAACAGCAGCAACCCAGAAACCCCCACCACAGGACGGCTGACCTTTTTTCTCGGGTCATTAAACAATTCAGGGAACACAGCGTGCCACCACACAGTAGTTTGAGCATTTAACCACATGCTTTGCATTTACTGTATACCAGTTAAGATAAGCCCGAAGATGTTGCAGCTCTACCATCACTGCCTCCAAGAATGACACGTTAACTTGCAAAATAACTTTACAAGGAGGTCAGTTTTTTGAGGAAAAACCGTTTTGGTCTCCTCTGTGGATCTCTGCAAATTATACATTACAATCATTAAAAGATCCCAAAATTTTAGAACAGTTTTCTGATGGTTTGGTCTGATATCA